TTCTCTTCCATTGCCTTTGCTTACTGTACATCTGGAAGAAGAATTCTTGCAGCTGGGAGCCATTTCATGTCTAAACCACATCCCCTGTCCATAGCAGAAATACCCTTTTGACAGCAGATGTCAAGCAAACCCATAATGGGTTATTAATTAAAAAGAAAAAGAAAAAAAAAAGAGAGAATAAAAATTGGTCAGTACAAAATTTGATAGTGGATTTGTTTTCTACTTTTACCACCTGTATTTGTAACTTTGCTGTTATTTAGACATTTTAGCACACTCTGGCATGTTCTGAAGTGCATTCCTATTTTATATAATACTTTAGATAATATGAAACTATTATAAAGACTGTCAATATTGTAAATAAAAACCAACACAGTTTAAAATCACAGTTGAAAAGATTAGTACTACTGAAGATAAAGCAAAAACTCTTCTGTGGCCATATTTTTTACCTTTGCATCTGCTTTAGTCTTTTCAGTCCTTATTCGGGCAGATAAGTTAATGTGGGTTGTTTTCAAAGGTGCTGATGAACTTAGTGTCGACTGGAGCTAGTGCTGGTAAAAATGACATAATTTTTATTTATGTGCTGAACTTGAAGTATTTGGCTCTTGCTTCAGTATTTTTTGGCCTGAAGGACTGACAGTAAGGCTTATCCTTAGGCTGCAAAATGCTTAGAACACTACTAGAACAAATAGGCCCAATTGCCCTTTTTGTGGTATATTGAAAAATAGTTTCATTAAAAATATATTTAGTATAATGAAGACTAGCCTGGATTTATAAAAGCATTCAAATTTAAATGTATTCCAACATTTTTCCATAAAGTGTGTAAATTTCAATCTTCTGCACACATTTCTTTTCTAGACAAACAACCCATTTTCTTCTTGATCTCTTAGAAATGTCAGATCCCTAATAAATATAAGGCTAGAAAGAAAGGCTACTCAAGAAAAAGAATAAAATGCAGTCATTCATCTGTTGAGCAGGTTAATTTTTCAGTAATTTCTCCTGCTTGCCTAATTTCTTGCCTAGACAAATTGAAATTCTCAATGCGGTATCCTTGAAAGGAATCTTATCCTGGTTGTGTCGGTGCGGGCTCCAGGCACTGTGTGTTTGGTCAACAAGCAACAGTGGGTGGTCAGGCTGTAGCACAGGACAAGGGCCCGCTGTGCACAGGAAAAAATGTTCAAAGGTGTTTAAGGCTGGTAAGGAAGTCTGCTGCCCTTCAGAGAGTCCGGAGGCTATAGATCAGCCTTAGCTCACTATTGTAGCCTGTGAGAAAATTCACTGTAAGATACATAATGGATGAGAAAATACAGTGACTGTATTCACCTGGTTGCACATCTGTAGGGTCTTTTTTTTTTTTCCCCCAATTAATCTTACTAATTACACGTGCTGTATATGAGCAAGTCTGTGTAATGGCTGATGTTTGACTTACCATGGAAAATCTCACTGAAAAATTATTTAGCCTAAGGTTGGTCACTTGTTAACAAGTTTTGTTGTCACTGCAAAAAGTACTGATCACCAGCAGCTCTTGTAAAAAGCATTACTGAATGTCATGTAATTGATGCACCAGGCTGGCAAAATTGCAGTGACTGAGGCTGAGCTATAGAAGTGAGGCAAGAGATGTGTGACTCCCATGACAGAACTCTCTGCCTGCCAGACTCCAAGGAGGGAAAAAAGCATCACTCCGCAAACTTGTGGAGCAATGGATATTGCAGAACAATTTTTACACTCAGTTTGATAATAGTTTAGCAAAATGAAAAGAAAGCAGCTTTTATAAGTTTAAATCATGGCTGATTTGCATATCATGGAAAAATCTACTTGTGGCAAATTTGACATCGTCTTTTTAGTGGAGGCTGTGAGGTGCTGCATGCCAAGAGCATGCAGGTAACATTCCAAAACATCAGGTCAAGGTTTGTACAGGAGCCATAGGTACTACAGGAACAGAAGTACTCCAGTACTGATAAACCTGCAATTGGGGTCAGCACAGGTGGTTTTTGATTTACAGAATGTGAAAGCACCAATTAGATAAATATATCAAAAAGAATTGTGCTTTTTTTGTGCTCTTTAGATCCTTATTTTGGTGAGATCGTACCAAACAGAACAGGAGAGGTGTGAACAAAATCGCTGAAATGTTTCACACAGCATCTGAATGGGTTTTTTTTTAATCTACTTACCTTCAAAATCCCTGTGCAGAAAAAGTTGAAACCCAGTAAAATCCTTTTTTTAAAATAAGAAAATTAAAGCAATGTTAAGATCCTTAAGACTTGGTATTTGAGCTTCTCATGGTTGTATGGTTGTAAATGTAATAAGGCGTTAATTATACTTCTTGTTTGTCATGACTGTTTGTTAGAAGAAGAGAGTGTGGTGCATTTGTTTTTCCTGTGTTTCCTTGGTTAAATATACACTTGGCACTGGAGTCACTGACAGATACACTCCATGTAGATGCTGTATTTTGTAAAAAACTACTTTTGTAACTTCAAAGATGCAGTATATTTTTAAAAAGTAAAGATCTACCAGGAATATATTGTTCCTGCTGTTTATACAACTTCTTAAAATATGTTAGCCCAGTCAAAAGTTAATTTCCTGAAACTTCAGGTTGCTGCTGTTCTATATTCAGGATCAAGGAATGTAGAAATAGTACACAAATAATGAATGGGCAGTAAATTATTATTTGGTTAATTTATTTAGGTTTGTAAATATTATTGTCTACAGTCCATACTACTATTAATTCACTGTATTACATTATGCTGCTAAGTTTAAGCTGCTGGCTCCAGAGAGGGAACAAGTTGGGATAGAAGAAAAATTGTTTCTAAGTTAACTCTTACGTTTTTTCACAAGATTTATGTGTTAGTATGCAGTCTTCAAGCGCTATCTTCTGGTAGCGTGAAAGCAAGATCAGCTTTGCTAATGTAGTCCAGATGTTTATTAGTCCTGAGGGTATATGCGCTGTTGTAGTTCCCTGCTGCTGTGTTATACTTGCTTGTAATGCTAGACAACCAATTAAGAAATTAGTTCATGTTAAACTTTCTTTTCCTGGTATGCTTGAAAACTGATGATGTGGTTTTTCTGGTGGAACAAGAGGGTATTCTTTACATGTTTTCTGTTACTGGTGAATATATAAACCATTTGGGCTGCGTGGGGTTAGTGTATCAGCAGCAATACAGAATTTTCAGGTTTTCAGCTACCTCAAGCAAATGGTTTTAATTGAACTAATTCACATTAGATGTTTTAGTAAGTGTGTCTGTTTTTCTTAATTCTGAGTTTAAATTGGCACTGTCATTTTTAGAGACCATCTGTTTACAAGAAATTCCTCATATTAACAAGGTGTTTGAAAGGTGAGAACTTAAATTCTAGGCAGAGGGATCAAAGAGGGAATTTTTTGTGTGCATCACGGCTTTTTCTAATTGTAGTTTTTGTGAAAAATAACATTACTGCACTCTTACTGGGCTGGGTTTGGGTTTTTTAATGTATGTTTTGAATAGCAATGCCTGTGACAATTCTGATTTGGCCTTCTTGGCATACTTTTTTTCTTTTTCAAATAAATGCGGATATTTTGAATCTCAGTCAAATGTTCTTGGAAGCCCAGGAATTATGTGGCACTTAAAATTTCTCAGGGTCTTCTATACAATATTCTTTTCATTCTGTATAGGATTTCTGTAAGGTAGTGAATATGCTGGGGTTTTAATCTGGAGAAGAATCAATTTGTTTCGGTTTTACTTGATGCTGTAAGGTTGCTGAACTATTTTCATGGAAGTTAAGATATGCCTTACAAGACATAGATGTTTAAATCATAAAAGCTGATGACTTTGCACTGATCTCTTGCTAAATGGGTAGTTGCATGTCCACAATTAACTATTTGCACATATGTACTGAAAAAAACTTCTGAAAGCTTTAGTTTTTGTTTTCTCATTATTTTGTATTTTCAGTTCATTTGGAAGGAAAAGTCTTTCCACAAATCCATGTTCAAACTCAGTGTGGATCTTGTCTGTGGTGGCAGTGAATAATACATTTAAATCACTGCAGCAGATTCTTATATTGCTGAAAACTCTTCAGCTTTAAAGGTGGCATAAAGACGAGTTGTTTTTAATAAGTGGTGTAGAAGTTAAACAATGAACAGAATCATAGCACAGGCTAAACATAGTATGAATGGATTCACCAAGTCAGTTAATACAGTGTGTCTGTCACAATTGTGAACAATGTAGCAAATTGCATCTATTTACTTAGGTGTCTTACAGTACAAACAGTCATAAGATGAGTGGGGGAATTGACAGCTTAGTAATGACAATGCCACAGTGAAAAGGCCACAGGAAATTCCTTTTAAAAGCCGTTAAAGAAATACAGGAGGAAGAACTTGTTTCAAAATGAACTAAAACCCAATAGTGTCACCTATTGGAAGTTTGTGATAAGTTTCATGATACTTAATATTGCTCTTTTAAGTCTCAGCCGTTGAAGTAAAATGACTAGGTATATCTTTTCTGCCATGCTGGTCTGATACCAGCATAAATTTAAAATAAACATGCTTTGAATCAGTGAATTCTTCCTATCTGAACTCTGTAGAGGTCAAAGAGCTGAGTAATAGTTGAACACTCTGCCCTTAACTGCTTCAGCTGGACACATAAGAAACTTCTGCTGGTGAAAAGTGTATTTAGGTCATACATCAGGAAAAAATGTGTGGGCTGTGTCACTAATTGCATATATACATATTTTTCTGTGGCTTTCAAGCAACTAATTGTAGGGCATTATTTATAAACAGAGAAACATACAGACTGAAGTCTGGTATTTTCCACATGGTACTTGTGGTTTTGGCTTTGTTGCAAAAGTCAATAGTGGTGTTATTGAAAAGCATTGATATAGATGAACAAACAATGTAAATAAGCCAAGATTAAGAATGTTATTATTAGATCACTTTTGTATCACTAAATTAAATTAGAATTCCGCCTGCAGTTTCATGTCAACCGGTGCGCAAAATCATTCTAACTTTTCGGGTTTTCTCCTCCTCTCCCTAGGCAATCCACTGCTTCACAGCCCCATGTTAGACCTGGACAGTGATGTGCGTCCATCACCGATTGGCCATCTCAGTCAAACTGCTTCATTGAAAAGGGGCAGCAGCTTTCAGTCGGGCCGTGATGATGGTAGGTATCTGTTTCATTCGCAAAAATAAAGCTGCAGCCCCCAGTGTCCAGTGTGTGGTGTAGTAGAAAAACCCAGACACAAACCCACACTCTGTGTTTGCTTTGGTTTGTTGCTAAATGCGATTCTTTCTTCTCATACATTCTGATGCTTACTAAAGGGGTCCTCTGTGTTTTTTTGCAAGCAAAGAGCAGTTCAATAGTTGAAATTTGCTTATTAAAATGTAGTCAAAGTAATGAGTCTTTTTCTACAAAACCAGAATTTTTTTTTGAATGTGTATCCACCTACTGTCTACCACCTTTTGCTGTTGTTATACATTTTGTGTGTGTTTGCTAAGATGGTTCTTGCATTTGCGCTGTGGCTTCACATATATGGTTCATGTTCTCCAATTCTGTAAACCCAGAAAGGGAAACAAAGTGACTAAGCTTGAGCAGTCTGTCCACAACCAGCTGAGCCCTTGTGTGTCGTAAGTGTCCTCAACACTCTTGTCCAAACAGCTTCATCTCAGGAGTCTTTGGATGGTGACATCACAAGAGACAGAAAACATGTTTTTCACAGGATAGGTCATTTCATACCAAAGTACTTTTTTACATAAAGCAAGTTTTTATGAAGAAATTTCTGGCTTTGGTCTGCTTTCATATTACTCTCCTCCCAGTTTTATGGACTTCCTGAAAAGACATCTGTAAGTATGGTTTGCATTGACCCACCTCTCAAGCCTGTCAAGGTCCCTCTGGATGGTATCCCTTCCCTCCAGCATGTCAACTGTTCCACACAGCTTGGTGTCGTCAGCAAACTTGCTGAGGGTGCACTCAATCCCACTGTAATAGAGTTTTTCTGCTACTGGGTCTAGACCAGTTCTTTGACAGTCATAAAACAAGCTGGCAAAAGTATCTTATCTGAGTTCACACTATGAGCTTTTCTAGTTGAGCTTTGAAGTTTTGATGCCTCCTATCGTTATCACTATCAGCAGAGTTGCACTTGAGTTAAGTCAGAGCCTCTTTCCGGGCTTCCATTGTGGTTTTATTTACAAATGCTAATCCAGCCTCCCTAAATTTTTTGGACCTGAGAAAAAACATTTTGGCTAGTGCAGATGTTTATTTCTCCACTAAAGAAATGGACAAGAATTTGACCCACTCCTCCACAAATGGATGCTGCTGAAGGCATACTGTACTTCAAGGAGATCAAGACTGTCTACAAACACAGTAAAATAGGCTCTAGTAAAGCCTACTAGTTATATAATGTCCTTTTAGGCAGCTGTTAGGTGAATTTCTGTTCTGCGTAGGCAATACTCTCTAGCAAAGTAGATACAAAAAGTGCTATTTCATGCAACGTTTTCCTGCATTTCAACAGCATTATGTAGGATAATGTTGTATTTTAAAATTTATCATTTGTAAAAGACCTGAGTTTATGCACAAAAAACCCACACCAAACAAACATGACACTTTAAAGTGGTTTTAATTTTTTAGTAGTGTTTTTGGCTGTTTGTTTGGGTGGGTTGTTGGGGTTTTTTTTCAAAAAATACATAATTTCTTTGTTCAAGTGTTATAAAGTTGAGGTGAAATGCAAGTCTCTTATCACTGTTACGCTGATACCCTGTTTTGTTAAAACATTTTAATTGAGAAAGATTCAATGAAGAAGGCAGATGGTTATAGAAGAATATTTCACAAAGTTTCCTTTCTTTTCTGTGTTAATTAGTACTTTCTTTCTACCCCTGTTCAGCTTTCTCTTTATACCCCTGCAACCTCCTTGTGCCCCATTGGATAAGAAACTGAGCAAAGTTACCTATTGCCAACATGTAAGCTATTTGCCTGATGTGTTTTAATAGCCAGATTACTAGGAATATAAATAGATTAAGATGTGAGAGATGCAGCAGTGTTACACATTATGATTGTGTTCTTTATCCAGTAATCTCATTTTCTAATTAGTGACACCTTTCTTGAGTTTAAACAGCAATGTTGGAATCACCTGTTTTTAAGATTAAAGAGTTTCCCAAGCAAATGAAAATGAAGGTGAAGTTGGCAACTTGCCCCAGACCACACGGGAAATTTTTTTGTGCTGGAAATAAAGCAGATCTTCCAGTTTCCGTTTGCCTGAATCACTAACCCATCCTAGCAGCCCTGTTTCTTCAGCATAACCACCTCATCATTTGAAACTTTTCTAATGTCTTGTTTGCGTTCATGTTACTTTACCTTTTAGAGTGTTTTGAAGACAGAAGACTGGCTGAATGGACTGTTGGGTGGATTGCATTAGATATCCTTGCAAAGGGACCTACTCCGTATATATTGTCATAGTGCTAGCACATTATAAGCATATGAGAAGAAAGAGCTTGTATGTGTACAAGTTGTGTACACATATATGGGCTGGGCTTTAAATGTTTTCTTTCCTGCGTGAAAGCTTTTCTATATACTGTGTAGTCACTTGTGTAATACAAAGCATCAGCAGTCTAGTAGTATATTCTTTCAGTTATTGTAAAAATTTTTAATGTTGCTTTTTCCATCCCCTCTCCCCTTTCTAGCTTCACGATACAAAGCTCCACAGCAAGTTGTATTTGTTGAGAAGTTGACCAAGCTCGTTGTAAGTCAGCTGCCCAACTTCTGGAAGCTCTGGATTTCTTATGTGAATGGAAGTTTATTCAGTGAGGTATGAATTCTTCTATATAAATTACTTACAAGTAACAAAGGTCTGTAATAATTGTTTGAAGTATTTTATTTTACTGGAAGAAGCGACAACTTACTTTAAAAAGAGACATTTCTTTATATTTTTAAAAGAATGTAAGCATACAGTGGAATTACTTCAAATTTTGACAGTGGGGGTTGTGGGTATGTGTGCTGTGTTCCAGTTGCTGGACTCAGTATCTGTATACTTTCACCTCTTACTCATAGCTGGCCCTTCATTGGTGGTCTGAAGAAATAGCACGTTGCATGCAGGATAGAGATATGTAAAAAGTAGAGTCATACAGAAAAGTATTGTTTCCTTTCTTTGGAAAAGGAGTACTCATTTCTTGAGTTTTAAGTATTTGGACGTGAGGTTAGGTTCAAGAACAGAGTTGCAAAATGACCAAGGCTTAGAGTAGTGTTCATGGACACACTATAGTGAGTCTAGTCTGGAATTGCAGTCAGCTGCAATCACCTGTGCTTCTAGTCCTTCTTGCTCAGATGATGTGTGTTTTACAAATCATGAAATATAATCCTGGTAATCCAAGAAATAGGGGCCAAATAAAAGTAATGATTCATGACACATGCTGGTTTTATATGCACACTTAACAGATTTTGAAAGGACACATCTCATAATTAATTTGATGTGAGTAGTATACAATGTCCTGCTGTGTTTAAATTCTTAAGTTATCAGGTCTGCAGTATTTCACTACAAAATTAGCCCTAATCCAGAACTGCAGTCAGATATCTACTATTCTTTGCATCGTTAGTAGAAAATAAAACACAAGTCTTGGAAAAAAAGGACATTTGGAAGTTTATGTTCTCACTTTCCATTTCTCTAACTAAAGAATTAATTTATCAAGCAGTCGTTCCATTTATTGCCACTGTTTATAAATCTGGATGCTATTTTCATATGAGGATACTAATAGGTACTATAGCCCTTTATATGCTGAACACAATACGCAGAGCATTATAGCTCTGGTGAAAAAGATTCTATTTGTGATTTTCATTTGACATATTAAAAGAAAGATGTGGCATTTACCTATAACATTCAGTGCAGGAAGTAGAATCAATAATAAATCTTAGTACTGTTGACTTACACAAAAATAATTAATTCCATAAGGGAAGTGTCAGCCTTTATATTTGACAGCAGTGTCACTGGAAATTAAACTTTACAAATTCACCTGTTAAGTTACTGTGATTTTTGGGGTGGGGTTTTTTTTGTATACGATGAAAAGGAAAGCAATTTCTAGGGAAACAGAGGCTTGAACTGTAAACAAGGTTGAGAAATTCTGCTCATGTAAATGACTGCAAGTGGAAAATGCAGTAATCTTATTCATGTCTGAAAGAAACATTGTTTCACAGTATTAAAAAAACAAAGGAGATAGTTTTCCTGTTAGTAAGGTAAATATGCTCCTTTTTGTCCAGATTCTGAGCTTGTAAGAAATTAATCCCCTTATGTTTGATTTCTTTTTCTCCTTTGGTCCTTACAGGAGCCCCACAAGTTCTTGGGGAGAGAGGAGGGATGGTATGCCCCATTCCTCCTGTGTGTTCTGCATGTCACAATCAGTTGAGGATGAGTGGGAGGGTGGCATATGCTAGAAGACTTCTTCTAGAGCACCTAAGAATATCTGTCATCACATTGCATTCAAGACTGAAAATGTACATGTTTTTCTGTCAGAAACAGTACATATTTTCATTGTCCATGAAGAAATTTCTTTAACCATGTTGCTTGCTATATATCATCAGTCAGGAAGCAAGGTGACTGAAGCAGTTTTTTAAGAAAAGTCCTGTGAAAAAATGGTATGGAGGATTATTTCAGTTAGGTCTTACAAGACATTTTACATATGTGGAAAGAAGATCTCCACATATGAAATTCAAGATGTATTTTCTCTTGTTCAGTTTGTAGGGTTTAGGGGCGGTGTTCTTTTTACTTCTGAAAGGTTAACTATATGCCTTAAACTATTGTCAGTTAAAGATTTATGTGGTATTTCAACAGTTTGAAAAGCTGAGTTCTTTGAATCACTCTAGGTGAAGTCACATATGTGAATAGTAACCGTTGATCTTACCACAAGATAGTTTTGGTCTGTCTGTGGAGGAAGGGTTTAAGATTGGTCTTCAACAAAACCACTAAGGAAAAAAAGAAAATATATCAAAGATCTATGAATTGTTCTGTTTAATTCAGCTGCAAAACTATGAATTTTAAGTTGTTACCTGAGGTTTCAAGGAATACAGCTGATTTTCTTTTTAAGTCTTTAGAAGAGAGAAGTGGGAATTATATGCAGCATTGACTTGAATATTGTACTCCTTGTCTGAAACTGTATAGTTTAGAGCTTTTAAAGCACAAGTTTCATAGCTATGTATTTTTCAAAACTGTTAAGCAGTTTAATTTTTCTATTAATTTTTGCTCACTTCAAATTATTTATTTTACCTTAAAAATCTTAAAAGCTTTAACTAAAGAGGGACTTTGAAAAATACAGCATTTCAATTATTTGAAAGTAAAATAATTCTCTTTGAGAACATGCTTGTCGTGTTGTTGCACTTCTTGTCCAGTAGATGTTGCTGTGCAAACATAAACCAGGAGACTTTCTAGCTATGAAATTCTACATCTGCACTTAACCTAGTATTTGAAATAACTTTTTCAGCATAATTTACTCTACTGTGTTCTCAGTAGACTCCACGGAAGACTATAGAACTGCAAACAGGAAGACTATTAGTCAAACCATGTTTTTCTTCAACCGTAACTGTCTCATGCAAAGTGCATTCACATTCCTCTGTTTTCAAAGAAGTGAACTGTCAGTGAAAATACTGCTTATTTTTACAATTAGTTGAATTATTTAAATAGCATTGTCAACAAAATACTGCTTCCAAAAACAAACAAAACCCCCTCAACCCTCCCCCTCACATCTTGCAGTTCCAAACTGTCCTCATTCCAAGAACTGTCTCCCAGTTCACAGTGATATCCTTCTCTGATCAGCTTCCATGCTGAAAAAATAGAGTTTCTTCATATAAACTTGATGCACAATTGCACTATATGTGTTTTAGTTCTCACTAACATTGCAGTGAGAAAACTTGGTCCTCAGGAAGTTTGTATTGCTTGAGCTACTCTTATGCTTCTCTGACTTTGTCTTAGATACACATTATTCCTCAGAATTAAACATTAGTGTACTGACCTACAGTCAGTAGAGCTCTTTGAGATATATAGTCTTTGCTTATTGAAATGCCATGAGTCAGTTTTTATAATTGCATCATAAACTCATCAGTTTTCACTTCTTCACTTTGAAACCCCTTTTTCAGAATTGTTTTAACAGTGGTTATAAGATACTTACACTTTTCAATTTTCTCATTTTCACAAGACTGCTGAAAAATCTGGCCAAATGGAAAGATCAAAGAAAAATGCTAGGCAAAGACAAAATGATTTCAAGGTAAGCAGTTGGGGCAGGTGGGGTGGAAGGAAACCTTCCTTTCTTTCGGTTGTCCTTCGCGGCAAGATACCTTCGTGTTACCACCTTGAAAATCAGATTTCTTAAATCATATGTGTGCCCTTGTACCTCATTGTCTTCTTCTCTCTACCAGGAGGAGACACCTGTAAATCATACATTTCTAGCTGTTGTGTATAGCAAGTACATGGCTGCTTAAGCATCTTGTTAGAGCTTTTTGCTTGATTTTTCTTTCCCTTCTTCTGATTCAGAAAATGATTCAGGAAGTGATGCACTCTCTGGTAAAACTTATCCGTGGAGCCTTGCTTCCATTCAGCCTCAGAGAAGGAGAATCAAGGCAGTATGGTGGCTGGGAGATGAAGTCTGAACTTTCTGGCCAGTGGCTAACACATGTTATCCAGACTGTAAGGTAAACGGATATGTGGGCCTACAAATCATGCTATTCCTGGAATATGTGCTTTAAGACAAAATGTTTGGTTTATTGCATTCAATACCCTGAGTTGTTGGAATGTTAACATTTCCAAAACTAGTATTGCAAAAAAAGTTGTTTAGGGAAGATTTATGCTTCTATATGCAAGTGTAATTAATGACGTCTCATGATATAGCCTTATCATTGCTTACCTTGAAATTTTCATTTCATTTTTTACCATAGCATCTTATGAAAAAAGTTTGAATAAAATATTTGCCTGGTACAGCGTAGACACTCAATGTGTTAAACAGTATTTGATTCTTTAGGGTAGAAAGCAATTGTTTGTTTAATTTGCTACATGTCTTCCCATCACTGCCAAAATGGATGAAAATATCATGCTTCTTACTGTAGTATCATTCCTACATCCTAATTGACCATTACAGTTAGTTTATGGAAGGTGATACTCCTGCTTATATTGTCATTCGGCTTGTATTTGTTTATAAAATTAGTAATGTACATCTCATTAATTACAATATGTCTCACTGATACACAAAACTTGCTTCCGTTTGTCCATGAGGGCTACAAGAATTGTCATTATCTCTTGGAAACTTGAGTAGTAGGATACCTGGGTAGGATGCTGTACTTTTTATATAGAGTTTTCCAAGCAGGTAGCAAGCAAAGCATAGATGAAGAAAAGGAAAAGTTATAATTGCATGTAGATATTCTTACTGTGAATAGAGCTAGCAGTAATACATACCTGTTGTCAAGTCTGTTTAACACTTTCTCGAGGTCTGTTGTCACTTACATTATCTGTACTGTAAGCATTTAGAAAATATTTTCCATGTGAAGTTTGTTATTCTGACTGAATTTTATGGAAAGCTTCCAGTTTAAGAACGAACTGAACTGACATTTGATGAAAAGATACAAAGGGACAAGGGAACAGTCTTTGGCACTGGTGTTGCCCTTTTGTGAGAAGCAATCCAGTTTCACTCAAATTATATTATTCTAGAATTTAGCACTTGCACATCTGTAATATTGGCTTGGAAACATAACCAACAGATTCTCTAAAAGTTAGTTGTGCTCCTGCCATCTGAGATAAGATCCAGGCTGAGGTTATAGGATATATGAAGTCTCTTTTTCAGAGAATCTCCTCTTGCTTTCCGGGCACTGCCCTATTAATGATCAACTGAACTGAGAGCTGGGGAAATCCTCTCTCCCTCCCACTCTTTTCCTCACCTTGTGTTCTCACCAGTGCCTGTGATGGCACTTTACTAAAGTGAGATAGACTTTGCTGCAGAGTGGTCAAAAGTAGAGAATAAAAGGGGCTATCTGGAGAAGAGGAACTGAATATACCGTGTTTGAATATACCGTGTTCACATAGAGTACTGACCAGTGATGATCAGGTCAGAAGTTTGTGCAAGTGCTTCAAGTACTTTTCAAGTCCCCACACTTTGACAATCTGAAAAATTGTTGTGACTCACACCAATGATGAAGGTGGGCTCTTCCCAAAAAGAGTCTGCATGTTGCATGAAACCTTTATCTGTTGCAAGGTTATGTAAGAGCTTAAGTCTTACTTTCGTCGTTGGTAACATGAACTCATTTTGAAGCTCTTTAGAACTTTACTCTTTTCTGTCATCATACAAATGATTTTCTGTTGTCTGCTAGTATTTCAGAATGATAAAACTCACAATATTAGATAACAAGGAGTTGTCATTACATCTTTGTGATGTTAATTTTTCTGCTTGTTTATATGTATCACACAGCTTAAAGTGGGGTGGTAGCACCATTTTTCTCTTGTACCACATTCTGTCATTGCCCGGTGTGACTAGGTTCCAGAGAATAAGTTAAAACTATGCAGGCAAGTGAGCAAGCCATTGTTGGCAAGACTTTTGCCTAATTATAAAGATACAAAAGGTATGTATCTGTTAGGTTGAATTATATGAGGAAAAAGATGATCATAGTGGTATGACAGTTGTGTGCTTCCTAAGAAATGGAATCAGCTCTGAAGGACAGGACTTATGTGTACTCTAAAGTAACTTAAATATCTCACAGATGGGTATTTACATTCTGTGTTTCTTAGCTGGCTGAGAGAGTGCAGATTTGTGTAATCTACAAATTCAGTAGTGCTGAGTGGAGAGTGGTCTGGTTACTGGTGGGGTTTGATGGTTTGTGCCCAACACCAGGGTATGGAACTGGAGCCTACAGGTGGATGATGTTCCACTTTTTGTTTGTGCCTTCCTATTCCTCTTTGGCACTTCCTATCACGTGTGCTTTGCTCAGTATTAGCAGTAGGGCAAACAGCAATGGCTGCCTTTGAATTGTCATTGCTTAAATATCCAGTAGTTGAATAAAAGCAGTGAATCTCACTTTCTACCCCTAAGTCTGAGCACAACTGCAGCCTTTGAATCAAAAGCTGAAATGCTATTTCTTGCAAGCAGCTGCTGTGTTACTATTTCTGAAGGAAAAAGCCAGAAATTAATGTCTCCATCCTCACCTATAGTAGACACTGATTTGTGCCTGGTCAGAGCTGGAAGCAAAACAATGAATTAATTCACTCTGCAGCTGATGCAGTAACTGTATTTTGGTTCCTTAAATGTGTATACTCTTGGCAGTCTGATGCACAGCCACATACCATTTATGACAGTTTAATCACTGTTCATGTTGTCATGCAGGTAAACAATATCTCAGAAACCCTGTTGTGGATCTAGTGTTTGATCTAGGCATTCACCTAAAAGCAACAGAAAAAGCTGCTTCTGCTCCATAAGGATTATGCATGTATCATAGGACAAGAGATGGATGCAGGAGGGCAGATGGGGAAGTACAAGAAGACAGTAGATAAAGTTGGCATGTTGCTGTGATGACAGTATTGTTAGAGAAAAATCTGTATTTTCAATCTTCTGAATTAAGTAAATAATTAATCTTCTCAGAATGGAGTAATTGATTTTCAAATATACATTGTGGATGGAGCTGTTGTATTTACATACACAGAAAATGTCTAAAAAAGTTCAGTGGAGTTATATCAGCTTAAAAAAACCTGCAGATTTTCACTTTCATCTAACTTTATTTGCTTTCCAGGCTTAGTTCTGAGTCTCTTACTGCACTTGAGATACCAAATGATATGCTTCAGATCATCCAGGATCTTATTCTGGACCTTCGTATACGTTGCATTATAGTGACCTTGCAACACACAGCTGAAGGTAATAGAAGGCCACTGGTCTCTTCGCTTACAGGCATTTGTTTTTTGCATCTGATTAGGCTAAATCATGTTTTGAAAGATAACCATGTGTGTTATAGATATTGTGGTGGCAGTAGACTCCTCCCAGTTCAGTAATATCTCGCAAGAGTTACTCAAGTACTTTGTTTTTTTGATAGAAATATGTTATGAGTCTTTTCTTCCCTTAGTCTAATGAATACCATTGGTTAGATTTCGTTTCCTTTGGGTTAAGACAGATTTACAGTGTAAGTGATTTATCTCATGATGCAGCTTTTCCATATTGGAAATATAGTTTAATTTCTTTTTTTAGTATTTCTATAACATGAAGAATTACATAAGCAATGTCTCACCGCCAAGGACAAAAAAAAAACCCCAAAGAAAACCCCACAGCCCTTTAAGAAGGATTTCAGTTGTGTGATTTTCAAGGCTTTTTACTAACATTGTAATCCCCAAGACTTCCTGCTGTGTACTCAACTTTTGCTATAAATGTCTGAACTGTGAAGGCCTGTAATACACTCTCTAAATCCAATGTTATTCTTTGCCATCAGAGGCCATTCATCTTGCCATCTTGTATTCAACTCTGAAACTTAAATTTGAATTAAGTAACTCTTCTAGAAATAAATGTCTCTTAGAATCAGGGCAGATTGATCTAGTAATTCAATTAGCAGGGTTTTTTTGGTTTTGTTTCTTTTTTGCAAAAGACTAATTGCACTCAATTTAAAAAAAAAGGGCTTTTATAATCTCACATTTTTAATCTTTAACATATGATTATTTTGTAGACTGACACGAAGCTGAGAGTTTTACTCAAGGCCTAAGTGTGCCAAGCATAGGTGGCTATATTAAGCAAATTGTTAAACTTTCGGTGGCAACAAATCATTAGGCCTCTGTGGTTTATTTGATACAATATTGATATGAATTGTATTCTTGGCTCTTAATTTTTTTATTAAATCCCATTTCACTACTAACATTATTCTTCAGCATTAATATCAAGCTGGCTGGCCAAGTGAGTACCTAAGTTGTCTTGTCTCCTTAAAACTCCATTTGGAAAGTATTACTACTATTTCAGATTTCACTTAAAGTATGAGAAAGTCCTTATTGTTCTTTTTCTTCACGTAGAAAAATTGAGATCAATTGTTTAGTTTTTCTTAGTGGTAGGTGAAAAAGATTATTTTCTTTAATTGTGACATGAGAATGGTCTTATTGGACTGGCTAAGAATTGTGATTCCTCAGATGTCCTGCTGTTTCCAAGCAAAGAGGTATCTAGCTCTGAAGTGTTCTGCTGACAGTCCTCAGCTTATCAAATCTGAGCTCTCTACATAGCTTTGCCAGTGCAGTCCAGAGAGCTCCAGTATGGGATCAGTGGTGAAAAAAGTCTGCTCTCTTACTACTTTCGCCTACTTGTTGCATCATAGCTATAGCCCAGTTCTTTGTTCAGATGGAGTTTCTGCTCATATGTTCTGATTGCTGGCCACACACATGCTGTGTAGGAAACACTCTTGTGGTAGTCTGTACCTTAGTTTTTTATAGAAGCTGATTTACAAGTCTGTGTGTGCATGATTCTCTATTTGGTCTGAAACATCTTTAGTCATACTTTTCTTTCTTGAATCAAAAGAAATCAAAGCCCTAAAGATGCCAGTATGTTGTATTGGCTGGGTAATCTATCTGTTTCATCTAGCTGTAAGTGCAGCCTTCATTGACCACTGCTTCCATCCCCTGTCAGTGAAGCAGTTCTATGTATTGGCTATAGCATCAAAAAGGAGAGAAGGGGCCTGCCTGTATAACTCTCATTCCATACTGTTGCACTGCATGCCTTATCTGTGGGACCCTGGGTTTTTTTGTTCTTTGACAACAAAAGCAAAACTGTATCTGTTGAATGTATTTAGATAATGGGTTTTTTTTCTGCACGTGACCAGGTAAATTGGGTCCTTGGAGAAACTTACTATTAGGCAACAGGTGAAAGAACAGATAGCAGATATTCCAGTGGTACTATGTAAATGTATCTCAGAGATAGTTGCATCTGTAATACGTAAGTCAAAAAGGTTCCTCCTGAACTTGAAATTCACCTTTCTAATATCTCTGAAATACAAGATGCATAAGGTGCGGATAGAAAGTTCAGTCTCCTCTCTTGCTGTGTATTGTAAGTTGGTAAAATCATTCAGATATAGTAAACATTTTCAATAGAACACTTTAGGTGTTCAAATACCACAAACTTGCCCATGCACAGGATTTTTTGTTGTCTTCTAAACACCATATGCACACAGCAGACCTGAGACGCAGTCGATGTTCTTTCCCTCCCATATGTGGTCACTGGTCATAAAGGTCATGAAAGCCACGTTATGTGAATGCCAGACTAGACAGGGGCTTTTCCTGAATGTATTTGACTGGAACTTGTGAGCAGTGTAATATAGAAAGAAATTTGGGGGGGTTTTATATTTGTATTAGCTAAGAACAGAATGCAAAAATGTGCAACCACAAAAACATGTAAAGGCTGACCAGTGCAATCTAAACCTGTGCAAGAATATCAGTTCAATTAAGAGGTTTGCTAAATAAGAAAATTAACGGAGTAATTGTACTGCACAATCCCTTTTTATGCTCACTAAGCCTATCCTTCCATGAGATGTAGCATTGCAGAGTGTGACACTGTACCAAGCTTCTTACTTCAGCTAATTAAAACACCAAGATAGTGAAGATAGCTCTTAGCATGCATTAGTTACCCTCTTTTCCTTGGATTTTTAGGAGAGATGGTAATTGCCTGAAACTTTTGCTCATTTAAAAGGGAGTTTCATGATGCACAGACAGTTCTGATGAGCAATATGTGTGTAGAAAAACTGTATGTCTAAGCCTCACAAGCTGCACACACTTCATCTTTGTTCTGTTTATGCTTTGATTAAGCCCAAAAACCAGTGATGATGCAGAATGAACACATCCATAGAGGAATCGTGTTTATACTGCATGAGCTTTGGATTCATATTCTGAGTTAGCTCCTGTTAGCTTCATTAAGCCTGTAAAAGTTGACACCTTCTAGGTAGTGGAAGAGAGTGGGTCTTTTTGCATATGCCTTCATGTATTTTTGAAGAAAGTCTAACACCATGGATCCTTGACCCTGAGTGGGGACTCTCTGCCTCTTTTATACTTCTGAATATGAAATATGCTGTCTTTTCAAACTTTGCTAAAATGCTGGACAGTTGTTCTTTGATTTTTAATTAAGAGCTGAAGTATAATAGACTAGAGATTTGGGTTCTTAAATGCAGTGCTTTATGTTGTGATTAAAAATTTACATAATCAAAAAAACCCAAAGCATTCACAATATTCCTTGATTTTTAGCTTTCCAGTAAACGATGTGCTTCATACAACTCTTGCCATATATCATAGCTATGCTTCTCTGTGTGGTGTCACCAGCATACCATGTATGAGTTCCATTTTTAGTCATTTGAGTGTTGAAAGCTTTGAAGCTTTTAGTGCAATTTGCTTGTATGCCTAGTCATTGCAGTCCCAATGTCTGTGGTTTATCTTTTCAAGTTCAAGGAGTTTTTAATAATGAAAATGAATACCTTCTCTCCCCACCCCACCCCCTCTCCCCCTCTTTTTCTGTCTTACAGATATAAAGAGATTAGCTGAAAAGGAAGACTGGGTTGTTGACAATGAAGGTTTGACATCGTTGGTGGGTATACTTAGTGTCTTGTAGGCACTTTGTTTGCTGGATTTATTTTTTTTTGCATGTGTAACAAAGCTGGTTTCTGTATTCTCCAAAAATTGAATTACTTTGGACTTTGTCTATGTGTGTATATACTGGTGTCTATAGTTTCATTAAAATATGAAAATCTAAGAGGATTTTTAAAAATTGCTTGAATGGTTGCCTCTTTACAGCAATGTTAACAGGCATCATTACCAAACACAAATTTATTTTTTTCTTCCTTTTCCAAAAATTTTTTTAGACTTTTTAAACTATTACATGTGAAGTAACTTTAAGTGCTAATAGATCTACTAGACAACACTATTTTTCAAGGTGCAAAACAGGAAAAAAACTCAGCATAAGTAAAATTTTGCAGATTTGTGCTGTGTATTAAGAGACAAAAGTAAATGAGAATTGGGCATCGTGATATGTAGCATGGCTTTCTGCCTTAAGTTGGGTTATGTAAATGTGCCAGTATAATTACTGCTGACCTCTAGCATGCTTTTGATCAGATAAACAATGACAACTTCCATTGTTAAGCATCTTATTTTAGGGATGGTTGGTTTACTGAAGTAAAAAAATCATATTTGAGGTCACAAGTTCACATCAAAATGCTTCATAACTTAGTAGGCACAGTACCACGGCATTGATCTGTAGCTAAACAAATAGGTCACTTATATGTTATAATGAGAAATTGAACTGAAAAGCAACTAATTTAGGAGATTGCCTACATGCAAACAACCAATGCCTTGAAACCAAATTCAGATAAATTAGTGAGATGCTTTCTGGAAATAAACAGTAATGAGTAATGCCTAAAACACAGCAATCACGTTGTAGGTGTGACTTAAAAACAATCTGTGAAAGTAGAAAAGGCCTGTGGGAGGAAGAGTTGCTTTGTGTGTATTATCTAAGAGAATGCTCCACAGACTTTTTTAGTTTTTCTTATTTGCTTCTATAAATATGTGCTAGAAGTTGAGTAGGAGGGCATTAAGCAGTCACAATATACATATTGTAGGAAGGAGTGGTGTTGTTCAATTGTAGTACTACAACCAGATTTGCAGCTTCTGGTCTTGGTTTCAGTTGCTGCTGGCTTGGGCAAGTCCCTTAACTTTTCCGTTTTCATTATATTCATCTGTAAAATGGAGGGAGGAGGAAGGATCTTCCACAAAAGCATTGTTTCTTTATGTTTGTGCTGTACACTAACCCATCTTTATTTAAAAACTGCTTAAGTCTTCTTTGTATTTATAAATCACACAGTAATTCCTTGCATACAGCACTTCCCTAGACACCTTTTGAGGCCATGGGTAAAGCAAGCCAAATTTTAATGGTGGAAGCTGACTATGTTTTGTCCTAGCAAGGTTATTTATCTGCTAAAGTGGAGTTCAGCATGGTAATATTACAGCAAAAACTGACGAAAATTAACCGGTATAAAAAAGGGCCAGGCAGTCTCTTTGGGGACATTTTAGGCTTAAGATAGAAACTGTACTTTAAGTTTGCAGGAAACAACTCCTTTAGCACTTATATTCCAGGTAAAAGATACAGTGAGACATGGAACCAGCTCTTCTCAGCTTCATAATATCTGAAGAATCTCATGTCTGAACAACCTTCCTCTCCTGAGGTGTGGTGTTTTGTTGTGTGGAAGCAAAAACCAGAGAGCAGCACTTACTTTTTTTTATTTTAAGGAATCCAAAAATAATAAATACAGATTGTCTTAGTGGCTTTTTTCACGATTTTCATTTTGCCCAGTAGGCATCAGTTTCACAATCCATCTCCACTATTTGCAGAAAAAAAGATGCTTCTAAGCCTAAACTTGGTGACATGCCATAAACTATCTACTGAATGAAAAGCAAGTTTTCGTGGCTTAGAAACATTTTTTCTCCACTTCTTTGACCCAAATCCAGTAGGATAATGTCTCTTTTCTGGGGCAGTGACTGCTTCATGTTGCCCTGTACAACAGCTTCCTGCCCAATACCAGCAGGCAGATGCATTAAAAGAATAAAGTGTGGCTTATCAGGGAAGAGAGAAAGACAAGGAAAAAATGACTAATGACTCTGCTGTGAACTTGTTTGCACTTTCAGAGTGATATTGATACATGTATAAAGACACTCATACTTCAGGTTTGGAAACCTGAAGGTAGAAAAAGGCCCCTAAACCAATTGAGGTTTTTTCTTCCATGTAAAAGCAGTTTCAATCTGCTTTTCTTTGAAATCTTTTGCTGAAGCAGAAGGCAGAAATATCAGATATTCCAGATGAAATTCATCCCAGTTTGGATCAAGGGAGAGGGAGTGTGTCACAGTCACCTGTAATGCTACCCCAGACAGCTGTAAAAATCTTTCACGAACCTTTTAGAGGAGGCTGTTTGGTGTAGAAGTCTCTCATTCAGATAGAAAAGTGTGGATTGATCTATGGTAATAATTCTGTAGATAACTTATGTGCAAAAGTACTTCACTACAAAAGGGTCCTCTGGTAATATATAAATTATGATTTTTCCCCCCTTGTTTGAGATAAATTTGAAATAAAGAGCTTACCATATACTTTGGAAGCTTTCATACATTTGTGTAGTATACATTTGACATGCTTGTCTAACAAGTCATTTGCCTTTCAGCCATCCCAGTTTGAACAGTGCATTATCCATTCCTTGCAATCTCTTAAAACTGTGCTGGACTGCAAACCTGGAGAAGCCAGTGTAAGTTTTTATTTTTGCTTTTGTTTTCATACTTGTTCTGAAACCCAAAAGTAATTTACATAAAAAGAACTTTCAGAGAATGATCCAGGGGTATGACTTTCCCTTTTTTCTTTTTCCCCTCCATGTACACTCTTCTCACTTCTGCTGGCTTTTTGAATTCTGTTTTACTTCCTTTATTAGGGGTAATTTGTGTGTACAGGGCAGATTGAGCCTATATTTAAGTCTTTAAAACTGTTCTTTTTTAAAAAATGCTACTCATGTAATTTTCAGATAGTAGTAGACATTACTTTTTTTTAAAAAAAAGGGGGTTAGTCTTTACTCAGTGTGGAATCCAAACTATTTGTAGAACTGCAGTTCAACTTTTTGTCCCCATCCACTCAGTACCTTGAGGCCCTGATTGATCATGATACTGATGTTTTCTTTCAGGTTTCAGTGTTCTAAGGAAGTTTTCCAAACTTCCTTGGGCCTCTCCATATGGGTATTGTTGCTCTCTCCTCCCATGTTTTAATTTTTATGGCTAGCCTGTCCAATTTCTTAATGACCATTACTCAGAAGAATCTGTAGTGATTCAGGTCACCTGAGTGATGAATACTACTTTTCAGGATGCAAAGATCTTTGAGTATCCTGGGAGCTTTTTCTACAATTCCATTAGCCAGCAATGATACGTGTCATGTGTACAAGGACTTCCTTCGTTTTTGTATGTTATCTTCTCATGCTTATCAAACTGTTTTTTGGGACTTGTATTCTCTCTCCCATTTTTAGGATGGGGAAAAGTTCAAATTGATCCATAAGAAAGCACTGTGTCCCAGCAGCCATTCTCCTAATTGTGTCATCTCTTTAGGGATAGGTTACTCAGGCCTTCCTTGAGAATAAGGCCATGTGAAGCTGTTCTGTTGAAATAATATGCTTGCATCTTCAGGTTTTCCAGCAGCAGAAAACACAGGAGGATGTATGCCAGCTAAGCATTGGGATCATGCAGGTAACTCAAGCACTTTGAAGTACGAAATTGTGAACACAGGTGACCATAAAAAATGTGTGCTTTGTACCGTGCCCTCCTCCCAAAATGAAGCATGAGTTGATGACTGTGTTATTCCTCTGGTATATTCTGGGATGCTGAAAAAAGCTTGATTTTAAAAGTATGTAGAGCTTACAAGCTATATCTGATGATGTCAAATCCTCAGAGGGTAAGTGACATATTCAAGAATTTTCCTGATTGTGACTGTTCAAGATTTTACTGACGATTGACGCTTGCTGAACTGATGCCATCTAACATCAATATATATTGCAGTAAAAAGAGCAATGCTGATTTTCATCAGCTGAAGATCTAGCTTTTAGGTTTTGTGTCAGAAGCCAATATTCTTTGTAACAAAATCTGATTATTTTTAAAATCTATTTGAAATTAGTTAATAGCAAGCTTCAGGTTTTCAAACCATTTTGTAGTATTATCAAATAAGAAATCATGAGCCAAAGCCAAAAATGAATTTTAGTGAGGCTTCTGCAGTGTTTACTTGGGATCCACTGTTCAGATTGAACACTTGAAAACTATTAACAGTGTCTTCTTTGGAAGTCAGCAGATTATCACTGTATAATTTTAGACATGCATGAGGAAAATAACTTAGCAGGATTAAAAATCCCTGTGTTTTGCTGCGTGTGAACTATGATGCATATCAAGTAGAAAATACGCATTCTAGAGTTGTAACTAAAACATTGCTGTATTTATGTAAGGTTTAAGACAAAGAAAGGTGATGTTTTTACTGCTTCTATTGGCTGTAGTAAAAGTGAATGTAAGAATTTTTTTTGTAGTTTTGGTGGAAAATGTAAGTCTTGATTTATTGTTTCTTAGGTCTTTATAGACTGTTTAGAGCAACTGAGCACCAAACCTGATGGTGACATAGATACATCACAGTAAGTAAAAAGAAATAAGATTCGGTGTAGTATTCTGAATTTGTGTGACTTTGAGTGGGGGGGTGTTTTTATCCCTTCTGTATTTCATGTTTCTTGTGAATATTTTTGCCTCTGACTAGTGATGCTTTGAAATAAGAGCAGGTACTTTTTATGAAGCAGATGTATCGTTCTTGGCATGACTTTACATTGTCACTAAGTAATGTTTAATCGTGGTGAAACATCCCCTGACTTTTTTCTTCTATTTTTTATTAATATTTCTGCTAAGTTCATCAAAGCTTGTTTGTTTGATAATTGCTCATGAGCAACTTTAGAGACCAAAGCAAGTCAGAGTAGCCTGAGTTTCCAAGAGTAACAAGGAAAAACTTAAGAATATGTTGCTTTATAATCTGGTGTGAGGGGATTTGAAACAAGATGCTGTTTTATTCCTGTCCATTTCAATCTAATATGTATCAAATAATCAAAAGCACTATACTACTCACTTTTTGAACAATATTCCTAGTCTTTCAGGTGATGTTTCATCTCCAGATTTGTTTGGAAGCATTCATGAAGACTCGAGTCTTTCTTCAGTAAGTCTGGCTTCTATTTCTTAAAAGCTGGTGTGAAAATATTTCTCGAAGTTACAGGATTGTGGTCCTATTTTATTGTTGCAATATTGTAAATATTGGTTCTTTTGTTTTCCTTTTTTAGAGAAAAATTTTGTATTCTAGAGGCATTTCCTAGGTACATATATATATGAGCATGAGAAAATACAAGGATATAAGGCTTGAATATAAGGCTTTTATTAAAAGCACTGGGTTTTATGTATCTTAGTGTGTCATCTTAAGGTAACTAATGAAGACAGTTTTTGAAAGCAGATTCTCCTCAGAAACTAAAATGGCATCACTGAAATCAGTAAAAATAGCACTAGTGTTAAGTCAGCTGAGGATTTGACTTCTGATTTATGACCATGTTTTAAATTAGAACCGATCTAATTATTACTTTCTAAGATCCATGAAGATAAAGATATTCAGTAATATAGTTTTCCCCAGAATATTTACTGAGAGTAAATACTGATTATTTGTTTGGCTTTCTTGGTTTTGATTTTTTTAGGGAAATTGGCAAAAAGGGTTTTAATGTCCTTTACACTTTGGTTAGTATACTTTATTCTAGTTCAGCAGCTGATGAAAAAATACAGGGGTTTACCTGCAAAAAAAACTAGTGAGAACCTCTTTTGAAGTTACTGTTCCTTAGTACAGGATTTAAATGTTGTCAGTAGCCTAGCTTTGCCTCATTTACAAGAGCAATAGGCATTTCTGCTACAGTAAAGAGTCACAGGTTGCCAAATCAGGCCAAGTTTCTGCACTGCACACTTTAGTAATTAGTTCTTTATATCATTTTATTCTTACAACACATAGATTTTGATACCAATTGTTGACAAAGCTAACTTTTTTGTGGCTGCGACTTCTTCCCATATGTCAAAGGTATGAACGTTGAAATAAAAAAGAAGAAATCAACAATTTTAGATAATGTTTGGTTTCTGTGGTATCTTTTTGTTTTTTAAATGTAAATGACAGAACACTTTTTCTTCTCTTTCCTAAATAGGCACAGAGAAAGTGAGTGATCAGAGTAAGATTGGTCACTGCATTTTTTTAATTCTCACTTTTTGAATAGTCTGTGTACCAGTCAATTATAACTTAAAGTAGTAGGCAACTGCACATCTTACTACTAGTCATCATATTACTGAAATACAAAACTGTCAGGAGTTCTGTATCTGAAAACCTATACCATTTCTAATCAGATCAGTGCTGTTATGATGACTGTACTGTCAAATTATTTTGTTTTCCACATGTTTTATGGATTTATTTTTAACTTTCATCTGAGGTAGAAAAATAACTTAAAGTAGTAGGCAACTGCACATCTTACTACTAGTCATCATATTACTGAAATACAAAACTGTCAGGAGTTCTGTATCTGAAAACCTATACCATTTCTAATCAGATCAGTGCTGTTATGATGACTGTACTGTCAAATTATTTTGTTTTCCACATGTTTTATGGATTTATTTTTAACTTTCATCTGAGGTAGAAAAATACCACTG